AAAAGAAAGAACAAAGGAGAAGGAGGAAAAAGAGAATTAGAAATTAAATATTAAAAACAAGTTGTGATAGCTACAACCCCAGTACCTCAGAGTCTGAGGCAGGAAGAATACCAACCCCAGGCAGCTTGTGCCCTATGGAGAAAACCTGCTTAAAAATAAAACCAAAGCCAGTCAAAAATATGAGCAGGACAAATACAGTAAAACACATTAAGCATCAAATAGAGAGTTAATGTAAGGGAAGTATAAACACAGGAAGAAAAGGAGGTTGCTAAGAAATTAGAAAAGGCAGTTATGGTGGCACACACCTTTAATCACAGAACATGGGAGAAGAGGCAGGTGAGTCTCTGAGTTCAAAGTCATCCAGGCATGCATAATGAGAATGTCTACAAAAAGTCGGAGTAAAAAATTTAAATGTAATAGTTAAAACGGCTTAGTCCACAGGTTGATTTAAAAGGTCTGAATAGAAAAGCAATAGAATAAGAGAAGAAAGGGAAGAAAGAAGGAGAAAATAAAGTAAAAGATAATTTAAAAAATCATTCCTATCATCTAGTATTACTTGTGTGTGGGTGGCAGTGCAAACTCTGGATAACTGGCCACTTTGGTTGGTCCAGCTGGAGAGACAAAGGGCTGTGTGCTACCTGGCTTCCTCAGTTTTCTTCTATGTTGCTCACCCGGCAACCAGAGGACATGGTTTGTGGGAAAAGTCATTAGTTCTTGTCCTCTGTAGTCATCCTGTTTTTCAGGACTGTCTGGGGCAGACCACAAGCTCTACCATTGGACCCTAACACATGGCGGCCTTCAAGTACATAGCCTATCAGCTGAGGTGTGATCTCCCTCTCACCGTTCCACTTTTGCTGCTTTCTTCGTAAGGTTGTCTGTTTATAACTGAAAGTACTATTTGTGTTTTCTGAGGTTTTCACTTTTTCTTTGGTCTAATTCCCAGCCTCCCTAGCTGTATGCGCTGTACACAGCTCTATGCTGCCGACATTCTCTACCTTTGTTTCACTTCCCAAAGTTTTCTATTTTTAAAACATGGTTCTGGTTACTATTGAAACTTTGGTGTCTTCTCACCATCACCAACTCAGAGGGCAGATGGTTCTCAGTTGTTCCTGGTTTATTTCTGGGAGATGCCTGGGGTAGTCTGCCATGCTAGCCTCCATAAAGAATGTCTACAACTCTGATAAAAATAGACAAATGCTGTGAGTAGAATTTCTCCAAAAGTATATATGTAAGTTAACAGTCAATAAGCCTATGAAAAGATGCCTGATATTTCCTTAGAGAAATACCTATCGAAACCACAATGTGATAGATACCATTTGGTACCCAATTATACCTATAACCCAAACATGGAGCAACTACAGCCTTTCAGTCCACTGGTAGAAGTCTTAAGATGATATGTTTCTTTAGTAAAACTATGAACCTTCCTTAAAATGTTAACACAGAATTACCATATGGTCTATCTTTTCCACTCTAGAAGAAATGAAAACATATATCCACATAAAAAACTTCACTAGCTGGGAATGGTGGCTCATGCCTTTAATACCAGCACAGAGGCAGATGGATCTCTGTGAGTTCAAGGTCAGCCCGGCCTACATTTTGAGGGATACAGAGAGAAACTTTGTCTCAACAACACTGACACTAAATTCCATTAAAGCATCATTTAGGGCATTTAAAAAGGCAGGAATAATCTAAATGTCAATCATCTGATGACTGGATGAACAATGTGGTTATATCCACACATTAAATTTTATTCTAGAAAGAAGTACTAGCCCATAGTACTATGCAGATAAATGTTGAAACTTGCTATGTGAATGAATTCAATCATGGAAAACTGTTGTATGGTTCTTTTTATAAACAAATGTCCAGAATAAGAAAGTCTATAAAAGGTAAAGATTTGTTTAGAGTTTAGGTTGGGAGAAAAAGGCAAGTATGTTAATGGTTATAGTTTTTCTTTTAGGGGAGTGGTATGTTTAGTATAAACTACTCAATTGTATACTTTTAGTAACTGAGTAATGCAGTTATCTAAATAAAGATGATAATATTGTATTATCAAAATGTTTTACTTTTATTCACTTTTATAAGGTCTCTATTACTGAAGGTGGGAAAGGAGAAGGAGAGATGATAGAGAGACAGATGGAGAGGAGGGAATAAGACTATAATCTAGATCTATTATCTAAATCAAGTCACTGTAATAAGTACAATGCTGACCACTAATTTCCAAAGGATGATACCACTATTTTAAAAGATGAATAAGATAACTGAAATCTGTTCTATATATAACATTTAAAAATGCAGGATAAAAGTCTCTTAATGTTTTGATAAAAATTTGAAATACAGTGATTATTATATGGGTTTGTTAGACAAATGAAGTAATTAACCACAATGTGAACAACAGTAAAACAGGTTAATGTCAAATATTATTAAGCTTTGGATTATCTGGTGTGAAGAATAGAATCTGATGAAACCATCAATCTTCACCTTTAATTTTGTAATTAGTGTCAAACATAAGTCAGAATCAAAGTATAAAATTATATAATTTCTAAATTATATAAATGTTAGTAATTGATATTTATTGCTATAATTAAAAATATTGCTATATCAATAATAAAGGAGCTGGACTCAGATACAAGCACAATCCAACTTTCTTCTTTCTTACTTCTGATACTTTAAAAGCACTGTTACTTTCCTTATCCCTGCGTTTTACTGAGAGTAAATTATTTGTTTTGGAGTTTGGCAGATACGAAATACCAGCTGCCAGGTATGGAACTTTTCTAGATTCTTTGATGATATTCTTGTTAGGAACTTCTGGCTGTAGGTCATTTTTGTACAGATCTTCAGCTGGGGTCATCCATATGTTTTTCTGGGAAGAGTTTCTTCTGCCCGGTTACATCTTGTTTTGAGAAATCATGAACCTTTGCTTTAACAGATTCCTACTACAGACTTCCCTGGTTCTGCCAACATGTTCTTTTAGTGTTTCTTAGGAGCTCAAGTCCCAAAGTGCCACTATCTCAAGGGGCTCAGCAGACAGGCTCCAAGTTCCCCACGTCATTCCCTGGGGTCTGCCTTACTTGATTGAAGAGATATGTGTACGTCAAAGAATGCTAACAAATCTCCATTAGCCTCACATTCCTCTCACATGTGATCTCAGTGGGCAACGAACTCAGGGTTTCAGAAGTGGTCTTATAATGCCCTGGCCAGTTATTTTATCTGGTGTGGTGCCTAGTGATCTGTCTTCAGTCTCAGCTGAAATCCTACGAAGGCTTAGAAAAAGTCATGCTATAAATATATTTTAAATAAATGCCATTAAGCTACTTTCATTTCTCATAAATGGAGAAAATATCTTAGTTTACTAGCATAATACAATTAAAATAAGATTAATTAAAACACAAAAAGTAACTCTAATAGTCTGGGGATGGAGAGCTGGCTCAGTGGTTGAGGGCACTTGCTGCTTGTTCTTCTAGAAGAACCAAGGCTCTCTCTCTAGGACCCACACAGTGGCTCACAACGGTCTGTAACTCCAGTTCTAGGAAATCTTATTTCCTCTTCTGGTCTCTAAGGGCACTGCACACAAGTGGCACACATAAATTCACGCAAAAACTCTCATACACATACATATAACTGAAGTTCAATAGTAAAGGATTACAGAACATTAACACGACCACTCTGTCTTTTTATTTCTTTTGGAGACAGGATCTCATATAATTTCTACATAGCCAAGAGGGATGTTGAACTCCTGTTTTCATCTCCCACTTCCAGTTTAGGTGTTGCTGAGACAGAACCAGGGCCTCACTTGTGCTAGGCAATAACTCTATGAATTGGGCAGAATTACCTGCCTTTTCCTTCTGTTGTCCTTTTCCCCCATCTTCCTCCTCCTGTTTCTCTTCCTTCTTTTCACACTGCTAAGAATAAAATCCATGGCCTCATACTTGCTGAGGAAGAATTTTGTTACTGAATTTCACTCATGACACTGCCACATTTCATACTGGAATATTTTAAAACTTCAAAAAAAATGGTAACGGAAATGAAATACTTTCCCACTACTCCAGAAGTATTAAAATTAGATTTTATATGCAAATGATATAGATCACAGGTTGACAAAAACTTTTTATAGAGTAAATATTTTAAAATGTGCATGCAGATAATAAAAGCTTTGCCAGAATTATACAACTTTTGCTATATTTCAGTAATGCTTTATTTATAAAAACCAAGTTGTTACCAGAATTTTGTCTGGAAGTCATTGTTGACCACGCCAAAAATTAAGTGGACTGACATTATACCACAGTTCTTATTCCTAATCTCCCACGAGAATTAAAAATGAGTGCTGTTTAACTAAAGGAGATTACCATAATAGTTAATATTATCATAGTATACTGCTTATTCAAAACATACTGTATTAAATGTAACAGTCATGAATTAAAAGAAACATTAAGAGCACAGTACCTGTACCTGGCTTTGTGAATTACTGCCTATCAAAGGCATTTTAGAATAAATTTTAAACAGGAGAGAGCTGAATGCATTTCATTTGTTAAAGGAATCAAATTCCTCCTCTTTCAAGACATAACTACCTTTCCCAAATTAGTCATTGCATATAAAAGGAAAAAAACCCAAAATTTATCTGAAAAGGACTTAAAAATATTGGACTTTTAAAAACAATTATACTTGGGATCAAATCTTGTCCCTCCTACATGCTAAGCAACTTTGAGCTACTTCCTCAGCACAGAGAGTGTATGTGTATGTGTGTGTGTATTGTATGTGTGTGCACACATGTGAAGGGTGTAGGTTGACTTGGGACAGGTATCGTTCTTCCTCTTGCTCTCTTCATTCTTTGAGAGTGTCTCTTTCTAAAGGTTAGGCTGGCTAGCAAGTGATCTGCTGCTGTCTCTGTCCCTGAAACACTGGGTTACAACCACTGGCTTAGGGCTTTGAGCAGTAAGTGTTTTTCCACTGAGCCATTTCCCCAGGTCCCGTAGCCCAGATGTTCTAATGAACTCAATGCCTACCTGGTAGTGATAGGCAGGTTGCTGATAAACCGGCTGAGCTACCATCACAGGAGAACTAGATATGGATCGTGACTGTGGGAGGAAACAAAATTACTTTAGGAAACACTCCTTAAATTACAATAAAATTTTATCTTGAATTATTACCTAAACTCAGTTAACTTTTGGTTATTAATTGAAATGTTATTTTTCATCGTCTTATGGCATCATTACTAACTATTTAAATCTATTTATTAAAATAATCAGTTTTCCTGTGTAGCTTCATTTCCATAGTAACACTGAAACAAACACCAGTGAAGTTTCAAGTCTGAAACCTAATACCTCCAAAGGTTAGGAAAATACAGGCCTATTGAAAACATCTAGAAAAAAAATGACATATGCAATGTCATGGCCTATTTCCACTGTAGAAACCAGAAGTAGGCTGTATTTACAATAGTAGTTAACAACAAATGAATAAAATGTTGATTTTCCCATTGCTTAGAACCAACATTCTATTCCATTATTATAGATTTAATTAAACATATTTATTGAAACACAGTGAAATCATGTTTAAGTAATTTAATATTTAAATGAGTTAATAATCCAAAAAGTGGTATCTTTTGATTATTCAAAATGACAGGGTAAGATCACAAACAGATTACATAAGACCAGGTAGTTAATAAAATAGGTAAGTTATATTTCAATATAGGCAAAATAAAGTGATGATAGAATTAAAATTTAATTTTTAACTTGAGATGTAGTGTACTATTACTTTGTTTAAATGTCAACCCTGAAGTCAAGAAAAATATCATGGTTTTATACAATTCAGATTTTATATGCTAATAAAATAGAATTTGTGCATAGTACATATGGAGTTGATATTACAGAAAACATTAAGATTTGTGACAGGTTTTCTATATTAGATTATTAGTCAACTGTCACAAACTACTAGGAAATATTTTTTCAAAAAGATAGCCTTCATAAATGTAACAATAACTACATAGTAGTAAAAAACAAGTAAACCAAAGTTGTTTTCTTATCAAAAAAGTAAAAATTTTTGATGGATGAAAATAAAAAGGAGACTTATATAACTAAATGGATGAAACAGATTATGTTCAAGAATAGGAAAATTCAACATTACAAAATATTTAAGTGCCCCAAATTAATCTTCATATTGAATGCAATTCTAAAAAGATCAACAAGGGCTTTTCACAGAACAGCTGATGCATAAAATTTTTACTTATAAAAAGCAAATATATATGGTAGTATGTATGAGAAACTCTGAAAAAAGAACAAAGTGAGAGATATGCCTTATACAACTCAAGATGGGGTCTGGTATGATGACTCAGCAGGTAGGGAAAGGAACCTGTCACCATGCCTGAAGATGTAAACTTCACTGCTGGAATTCATACACTGGAAGGAAGGAACTGACTCCTGCAAATTGCCTGAGTATGTACATGTTTACTACAGAAAGGGTTTGAAAGATGATGAAGGAACAAGAAAAAGAAAAAACCCAACAAAACATTTCTCCTTAGAAAATGGTCAGCTCCTTTGTCTGTAAGCCAAAGAGCTGAGATAACAGCTTTTAGAGGCAAACCTATACTATTTTTCTCAGCTTTCTCTGGTAACCTTCACCTTGCCTAGTCTACTAAATGCAGAGAGGGTAACTACTGTTTGTTCCTTGAATACAAAATACATTTCCTCTCTCTGAGTGCTTCTGTGTTTCCACTAAGGCCAACAAATGCCCTCCTCCCTGCCAGTTCTTGACAGCCCTGTGTAGAGGGCATCCTAACAGAGCATTCAAAGAACTAAGAGTCCAAGAACTTGGGGATGTTATTATTATTTTTCCAGTTTCTTCTCTTTCCTTCATTATGTTTTGCTTAGGCTAAGGCACTTTGCATTTCCCAGTATACACTGGATGAAGGGAGGAAGAGAAGCACAGGCAAGAACAGGGGAAGGGATAGGCCAGTAGATGCTAAATCAAGAGTGTGTGCTTCTTTTCTGAAAAGGTCTTGTTGTGGACTCCATTATCAACATTTGGCCCTGGAAATACCTAAGAGATCTTAACATATTACTGTTGATTCTTGCTTAAAAATAAGCTGTGGAGTTCATCATGGGATTTACTATTGAAGCATTTCTCTTTAATCAATATCCTTTCACATCACTGAGTAAATTGTGACCCTACCAAACTAACAAAGGGGAGATAATGTGTCTCTAGTTTCTGTGCTTCATAGTCTTTCCCTCATTTTTAATGGCCATTGTGAGCATGTGTCCAACACAGTATATGGAAATGTGGCATTCATGAGCATAAAAATACAAATATTAAAAAAGCAAAAACAACAAACAAAGCGCTACATGCTCTCTCAAACAAAATGTAGTAAGACCCACGAGAAAGCCGGGCGTTGATAGCGCACACCCTTAATCCCAGCACTCGGAGGCGGAGGCAGAGGCAGGCAGACCTCTGTGAGTTTGAGGCCATGCTGGTCTACAGGACGAGTTCCAGGACAGCCTCTAAAACAATACAGAGAAACCCTGTCTCGAAAACACACACACACACACACACACACACACACACACACACACACACACACACACACACACACAAACACCAGCGAGAAAGTATAAACATTTAAAATGTAACTGGGAAAGTACACAACCAGTGAAACAGAATGGAAAACTCAGAAAACACATCCACCACAAGAAACACAACATTTGACAAGGGATCCATTTCAAAACAGAAAAGTGGATTGATACATTAACACATATACTAAAGATTTAAATCTAGATATGAAAAGCAGCAATATTTAGGAACATAAAATCTAAGAGGTTACCTATATTCTTGTAATAAAGATGGAATTGTTTATAAACAATATAATTAAAAGTTTGAATCATCCGCAAGTTTGCCAACATTTAAACAATAAACACATAAAGTTGTGTTGTTATGAGGAAAAAATATAAACAGTGTTAATGGGAAGCTACAAACTGGAAAAATATTTTTATAATGTATAAAATCCATGTAATGAACTCAGGAAAAAGAGAAATCACCTTCTCAGGAAAATGGAATATGAAGAATATGAACAAGCAACTCAGAATAAATGGCTAACAATGGGTTCAAGACATCTAACCTCTCCACCTAGCCAGATCCTGCATGTTCTTCTCTAGTGTCTAGCATGGTGAGTCAGCCTGTTCTTCCCCTCCATACACCCTTCTCAACTCCCGATTTTACCCCTTCATTGTATGCTTAGACCAGGACATACATCGTGCAACCAGCACAGTCCCATATTTACCTGACTTCATTCCATCTATGCCATTTCTACCTTCTAAATCTAACCTACCAAGATTTCTTCTCTTTTGTCCTAACCTCTCTGACCAAGGCTATGAAAAAAAGTTCACATGCCCAGATACTACTGCAAAACTGTAAGTATGGAAGCTCAAACCATTATCTCCCCTCTAAAGCCCAACAGTCCTCTAGAAATGTTTGCCAATGATATTACCTAGATTAGCTCCAGGATAAAGTATTTAAAATAATAATAATTCCATCAAGGAATTCAAGTTTAAAGAAGACACAAAGAACAGCTTATTGAAATTAAGGAGAAAGAACTTAAGGAGAATAAACCTGAGTGACAGTCAAAAGCATAAACATAAGGCTGACAGAAACAATGAAGACAGTTCAAGACTTAAAAACAGAATTCAATAAATAGGAACGGCAAAGAGGACTCACGCTGAAATGAAGGATGAAATTGAAAAACCCAGTAATTACCCAACTAGACAAATTCAAAGGAAAGCCTTACAAACAGAATAAATCAAGCAGAAATGGACTATCAGGACTCAAAGATAAAGTAGATAATCTACACAAAATAAGGAATATAAACATAATTTTAAAAATACAGGAAAGGAACATACAGGAAATGTGGAACACCACAAAATGGCCATACCTTAGGATTATAGGCATAGATGAGTGAAAAGAATTGTAAGTCAATAGCATGACCAGATCTTCAACAAGATCATAGAAGAAAACTAGATACAAGAAGCACACAAACACCAAACAGACAAGACCAGGAAAGAAAATTCCATGGTACATCATAGTTAAAGCACTAAGTATAAGGAAAAAGGAAGTATATTAGAAAGCTGCAAGAGAACCCCCCCACCAGTTACATATAAAGAAAAACCCATCAGAGTAACAGCTGATCAAAAAATCTGAAAACCAGAAGATTCTGGAGTAATACATTACAAAGTCCTACAAGACCATTATGGTTAACCTGGACTATACATCCAGCAAAATTATCTGCAATATTTGAAGGAGAAAGAAAAGCTTCCCACAAAATAAACAGCCTAAAATTTCATATCCATTAAACAAGTAAAATGCAGGAAGCAATATTTTTGATTAAAGAGAAGGATGAGTGTGGCCAAAAGACATGGAAAGAAATGTGGAGTCACCATTACTAAATCACAATGTTCATAAACACCACCAAAAATCAACACAATAACCACAATTAAACCATATGTTTCAAAAATTTTAAAGATGAATGACCTTAAATCTTCTGGTCAAAAGACTAAGGCTGGCTAAAGATATCAAGAAACAAAATCCATCTATATATACATGAAACACTCCTTGGCTTTAGTGATAGGCATCTTAGAGTAAAAGTATGGGCAAAAGTAGTATTTCACTCAATGGGTCCAGGAAGCAAGCAGGTTTTGTTTTCCTAATATCTGAAAAAACACATTTCAAACTAAAACTAACTAGAAGAAATAAAAGGGGACATTTCGTCCTAATCAAGGAAACAGTTAACCAAGAATACATTATTATCCTAAACAAATATCCACAAAACTCTGGCACACCCAATTTCATAAAAAATGAATACTGAATTTAAAGACACAGATTAACAGCAATGCATTAATAATTTCAATACCCCACTTTTTCTAATAGGTCATTTGGACAAAAAAATAAATGGAGAAATAGCAAAATTAAATGACATTATACATCAAATGAACTTCACAGATATCTATTAAATATTCCATCCCAAAAAAATCCACATTCTACTCAGTAGTACACAAAAGAGACCACATTCTGGGACACAATAAATTAAAAAGACTTA